CTTCCTACAGTTCCAATGGTCAGTATTTACTAACAGGGTCTGATAATGGATCAGTAGAGATACACAAACTAACTGATCCTTACTCTCTCTCTGGTCTGAAAGAGGAAGGTCACGGGACGTGGTCACTAGGCACTCATGACAATCACTACGGCCAAGTCTCCTGTATGTCATTAACATATGATGATCAGTACCTACTCACTGGTGGAGGGGATGGGAATGTCTTTGTGTATAAAACTAATTTCTCTACCAGCAGACCAGCCTCTCACGTTGCCAAAGTACTTATACAATACATGCACATATATCATATACCGTATAGCCGGAAATTTTGGAGGGAGTAAAATTTGGCGAATTGCTAAATTTTGGTTATTGGCGGATTTTAATTTGGCGAATTAGTGGCCACATGTCATTGAGCATGCGTATAAAGGCTCAAAATGGCGGTTTTTATTTTGGTGAATGAAACTCTATTCGCCAAATTCGCCAAATTTTTGTCCCTCCAAATTTTTGTGCTATACGGTATTTTATATCATTTAATATGCTACATGTACATGTATGTTTACATGTATAATAGTATGCAGGTACATGTACATTATATTGTACATTTATATTTAGATGTACATGTATACTGTGCATAGTGTGTGATACACAATATTTGCATGAAGATTCACATTAATACATGTAGTTATTATAGCTATTCCTTGTTGCATAGGTTGCTGGTAGTGACGCCCAGACTATCAAGAGAAGGATTGCTATTACTGATGATATTGAGGACTCCTCTCATTACAGCATTGAGGATGCTAAACAAAAAGCTGAGCAAGACAGGAAATTAAAAGCAGCTGAAGCAAAGAAACAAAAAGTCACCATAAAAAAATATATATATATAAATATAAAATAAAAATAGAATTAGAATTAGCATAAAAATAGAATTAGCAGTTGATCTTTTGCTATTGTGTAAATTTTTTTATAATTTTAGGTTCGTAGGGATATTATGCTGCTGCGTAGGACATTCACTGAGTTACAGCAAAGATCTCAGCACCTGCCAAAACACTTGAGGCTCAAACAAGAGGAGTTCATGATGGATCCATCAATATCAGAACAACTCCAGAAACAACTAGCAGATAAAGTGAGTGAGAGAGATATAGAATGGGATAAGATGCATGTACATGTACATGTACAGTATACTACATGTATAACTAAGAATTGTCTATACATGTACATGTACATGTATGCATGTCATTTTTATATTATAAATTATTATAATACCTAATATTAATTATTGGTCCTTGTACATGTATGACTGCATATACATGTGTAGTGTACATTGTAGTTTAGTTTAGTAATATCTGTTTTAATTTGTAGTTGGATTTAGTAAGGAGAGAGATGGCTTGGGAGTCTGAGAAGCATTCTGTGGCTTTAAAGAAACTCCAGAAAAAGTTAGTACACACACATGTACATGTATTAGCTTGTATTTAGTTCAGTGCAATGATTTTCTGATA